GTCGGGAGGCGCTGCTACGGCACCAGGGCCGTAGCGTGGACCAGTACGTAGACATGAAACTACGACACAGCATCCGTGTTGACCAGCAAGCATCTGCCGTAGTAGCCGAAGCGTTTCACACGTTCAGAGGCCGTGGCGAGGACCCTGATGACACCGCAGGTAGGAAACATCTAGTCAGAGAGCAGCCAGTGGCTCTCACTTCTATGTACGAGAACTTCCCTTTGAAAACTCAGAATCCTAGGAGAAAGCTCCGGAGACATCCTCACAGTAACGACAAGGCTTATGAAAACTTCGAACCAACGCTGCAACGGGGTGCGGCGTCGGAGGGTGGGAAGGCGATCTCTCCGGTGGCGCCCGTAGCCGTCGATACGCCGGCGAATGTCAGAGAAGATGAGAACCCCACGTTCGTTTCGAGCGCGTACATCACGTTAAAGTCTTCCCAAGAATCGCTGCTGGATGAGCCGATCAGTGGCAAGAGACATCCAACAACCCCGACCGACGGCGACCACAAGCGCGTCCAGGTGTTGCCGCTGAGTCCGACCCACTACCAACAGCCCCCAACACCCGATCACCCCCCGCCGTCGGCCCTGCACGCAGAGAAGAGTATTCATGATCGCATCAGGCCTCTGAGTCAGGTACGTTGTCCCGGTAGACTGCCTGTTAACCTATTTTGCTTGTGATACTTCAAATGTTACTACGGATTTACCTGTTGTTTTTTGTGTCGAACTTCTGCCCTGAAGATGGAAACAGTATGTTTTCCCACGAAACGTTGGCGTCGACCTACCGTACAAGTTCGTGTGTGGTGTAACTTCTCGGAAGACCTACATCGATATCTTTTTCGTCGTGACGACCTCAAATCTCGCAGTTCATCCGTGATATCAGTTTATGTTGACGTCGTTAGCAAAAAATTAGGGCGTTTTTCCACTCTGACGTCGTGCCACGACCGATTCTAGATCATTTCCACGGCGATGCTAAAAAATTCGGTAATTATGATTTGTAAAAAACTTCTGATTTTTTCCCGCCTGAACTCCTATGACTTACCCCTCTCCACCCTGGCAACGTGCAGGTGTTATATGACGCTCGTACTGTAAGCGGAACCGACATGTTCCCTTTTAAAACTCTTATGTTGGAATGACTGCCTTTAGCCTATGGAATGTTTGTGAACGAAATATTTCATCAAAGACGAATTCCTAGACAGTCAGGTGACACCGCGCGTAACTGTTTCCGAAGAGACGCGAACCGCTGAACTACGTACCCGCTTTGAAGTGGAAGGCGATGTTTGTTAACTGACTTGGCTTTTGATCTGTCAGCTGTACCCAAAGTCTCTCTCGTTCACTGTGGAGTTCAGTGGTCGGTCTTGGGTTACAGCACCGCAAGAAATCTTTCGTTGCTTTCAAGCGTGGCTGTCTGTTAGCCGCAAAAGAGGTTGCTGACAATAGTGCGCACGGGGACTTTGCCGAAGACACGTCGTGTGTCGTAGACCCGATTTTAATTTGGGCTAGAACGGCATAAGAGTCAACTGTGAAGACATGTAACTGTGGCCGGAAACCCCCAAGGCGAGATTACCTGGGGGAGAGACAGAGTGGATTGGAGGATAATATTAAAATATATCTTAAAAACATAGGCTGTGGCTCTGAGGACTTGATCTCGTGTGTACGATGATAAAGCTTGGGTTTCTTTGAACGGTGTTTAGTACTAAATAAGTTACCAGGTCTTCGTCCTGGCTTCTCTAGAAATATATTGAACTTAAATAATGAAACTGCGTATTTGTCTGTGATAAAGTTTTATACGTGCGTCTTTAATAAACTTCGCGGGCGATGTTAACAATATCAGGACATTTTAACGTAGGTTATGAATGCGTGGGGCATAGTTCTCCTGCCCCGTGCATCCTCATAATCACGTCGACGCTTCTTTGTACATCTTCATGGGCGTCGGATCCTTAACTTCCAAAGATTCGCCTCTGGTCTGTTGCCAAGGCATTGCAGTTTCTACCTGATGCCATGATTACTGTTGATTACGACGTGTAGGCCTGTTTTCCGTCTAGTTGCTTTGCTCCGGGAACAGTTCTCTCACGCGAGAAACGTGGTGTACTCTGTCTGTACCCGGAGTGCAGTAATGGCCCCATTGCCATTCCTGGAACTTCATTGGTCCTTACTGTAAGGGCGCTACCGGATAACATGCATGACTGAATGTTCAGAACGCGCGAGCTGGGGGGGAGGGGGTGCGTTAACATATTACCATGTCGGGATGCCAGATTTACTCAGGTAAACGCGCGTGGATGTGAAGTGCGCTTTGAAAGATGAATTGCAACCCCCCCACCCACCCCCAACCCGACGTAATGCGGCTTCTCTGATCTTGTTCACTTTCTAGCTACAGGGTGTTCCAAATGGTTGTTCACAGGATCGCGAATTTTGACTTAAGAGTAAGGAATGTCCGTAGTTGAGACGCGGACTTCTCGTTGCGAACGTTTTGAGTCGTAATGGTGGTTGTGAGGGTGAAATCAAGGTCATTTCTGTGTATTGAATTACCACACCCTGTACTCTTACTTCTAAGTTATATTTGTCACTTAAGCTGTTTTGACGATGCTCGGACGAAGTGGTAGATTATTATTCCATCTATTCACCACTTTATAGGGTATTTACTTCTATGTACCTGAGGAAAACCTTGCTCGCTAAGGTACAGCTATTTCTGAAATACATTTTGTTTTTAATACGTGTTACATGTATTGTACAGATTTATCGTGAGGGATGAATATATATTTTACATGAGCGTCTTTCGAATGGTTTTCGTTATTGTTAGGTTCATCGCCGAAGAGAACTCAGTTGTAAACACGTAATACGCCAGTTTGTGTTCGCCTGTTCCTTTTGTTAAAATGTCTTTCCTTTTTCAAAGTCCGATTAATGTTTTTTTGAGACGAGTAATTTGTTTCTGTCTAGACTTAAATTACACCTTTAATAACATCTAATTCGCTTCGTTGTTAGACTTGAACATGGAACGAAACTATGCAGTAAAGGACCAGAGTTCAAGTTTACTTCTTATGGTTTTATTGTTACATTATAGCAAGTCGTTTCGTGAGCTTGGCTTATTCATTTATGTACACCCTACTTGCGAGGAAGGGTGTTTGTGGGTGTTTTGCGTTCTTTAAACCAAGTTAGTTCGTAGAAACACAAAGTTGAAAGAGTTACTTTGCATCTGATGTATGTAACCTGAAGGTTCAATTTCAGCCTTCTTCAAGAAGAAACTTAGAATCTTGCTTTCAGGAGTAGGGATGCGTGAATCGTTGAGGTTGCTTCTAGAACAAACTCATGTGAAGCTACAGCTGTAATATGAATGGATGGAGCTCTCTTACTTCGCAAATAGCTAATTAAAACAATATTCCTCTTGAAATAGCCGTCTATTAAACGTGAATAGAAGCTGCAATTCATTTCGTTCTGATGCTGCTTCAGTGGGCCTTACGTGGGATCAGGAAGGATGCTGGGTGAAGATCTGGCAGTGGGGGATCGCGTGTTCGACTCACGCGTCAGTGGCGTTTTCTAACATCTTCATCGAGACGGCTACGATCAGGTTTTACGAATTACGTGGAGGACTTATTCGAGGTCTAAGGGCTGCCCAAATATTCCCAGCCTTTTATGGAACCTGAATGTTTCGTACCGATTTTGCAAGCTCTCACCACTCATGAGTCATGAGTCAGCTGAATCCAATCCACGCCTCATGTTCTGCACCGCTAACAAGAATGTCCGGCCCTGTAGAGGTCCTGAGCCAGTTTCTTCTTCCTTTCATCCTGTCTCCCATATATCAGCCTTGATGTTACATTCCCATCTTTTTTTGGTTTTCCAAGTGGGCTATTTCTTTCTATACAAAAAATCGCGTGTCAGTATTGAAGACTGCAAACGTCTGTTGATTGATTTTTATTTGAAGTTACTGTCTTCAGGGATCTCGCGGCGTGAGGACTAATTGATATTAGTCGACGTTTCGTAAGAGCTTGCTGCTTCCATCGTTATGGTGATAAATTTTTCTGATACGTCGGTCATTATCTGTTAGACTACACTGTGATAGATCCCGAAAGACCGCTGGCTACTTACATGCTCGTCGCCGTGAGATATCTAGTCTAACCATGGTAATGAAGTTTCGGGAATTTTGTGAGTAGCCTCTGGCGTAGTGACAGGGGCTTTTCCCCGTTGAGCTGGTTATGTGGGAAAGGGGGCGGCGCGATTATAAATGGGCCACCGTCATGTCATGTAGGCCGTTACCGAGTGCAGATTTCATTCGTACCGAAGTGATATATCGGATGCTTTCCAACTGTGCCACGTATTTCCGTGTCGCTAAGGAAAGAAGCCTAAAGCAATATTGTAGTAGAGAAATCCAATTATTACATACTCTGTGAGCGACTCCGAGCTGGCAGGAGGCACACACACCTTGTTCAAGGCGAGTCGCGTTGCTCAGGTAGCGGAAAGCGGAGACGCCTCGCGTCTCCGCTGAGAGGAAAAGCGATACATAGGTCTCGATCGACGACCTCTGACCTCCTGCTCCTCTTTTTTTAAGTTCCATCCGTAATTAGGAAGCCTACGGTGACGCTGCTGGTTGCACGGCAGTCGGGAAGCTGGAGCGAGCGTGTGGTTCTTATTCCAGGCGAATGTGGAATTGGAATGTTTTGCGATATTTCAGGTTCTCACGGCTGCGAGTGTGAAGATGTTGCGCCATCTTGTCTGGATTTTCGTTTGCTTCTATGGCGTCAGGTGTCGTGAAAAGTAACGCGGTCCTTACAGAGGAACTGTAAGATGTCCTTGCTTTTTTGTGTGCTGTGCCGATAGAGGGTTAAGTCCAGAATATCGTTTCCTCTCGTACGCCAACACCAGAAGATTAAAAAAAAGCGTTCTGAGAAGAAAATTCTAACGTGAGAAGGAAGTAACATGGAATGGGGAAAATTACGTAAGGAATTATTCCATAATTCCTTATCCTGTTACTTTCCTGATGAAATCAAGGAGGATGAAATGATGTGGCATGTAGCATGCATGAGAGGTGGGAGCATTATCAAAGAAATTTGCACGAGGTTGTAAACTGACCTGGTGATGGGGTCTGGTGCTGGGCTTTTGTGAACCTTCGTGTTTCATAATTTAATTTTTTAACAGCTGAGCGGCTGTCGTCGTGTGAAGAAGGGTCCTGCTGTGGTGGATTTGTGTCGTTTTTCCGCTGTGATTGTAGTGTGTGTCGTCTGTAATTGCTCCACTCCACTCGTCATGGGCTACAAATCGAGTTTCAGCTTCCAAGAACATACATAAATATATCCTGCTAGTTAATCTACGTCTGCTTGTGTTATGTGCTGTCTAACACCCAGGAGGAGGGCTACAGGATTTGTTTAGGTGTAATCACGGGTAGCATCGTTCATAAATCTGAAACATCAACCGGGTACAGTGTCGTTTTCAGAAAATACTTTGTATTCAAGGAACAGACAGACTCGCACCGGTATCCGATGACAGAAATGCGGGACAGTGGACACTTCAGTTCCAACATCTCGATGGCTGGGTATCTCGTGAGTTTCCTGTAGGGGACATTTTGACGGCAGTGAAGGGATGGGCTGGTTTCCACGGCCTCATAGTTCCTGAGACAACTTACGATTTTCAGTTTTAATTACCATAATTAACTCCATGGTGCAGTGTCCTTCGTGACAAGCTGACAGTCGCTCAGCTTGTCAAGAAATTGCTATAATTCGCTCCGTCATACGTCAACTGGTGTAAGCCTTTCTGTAGAATTTTCTCCTGAGATTTGTTGGAACACCCTTTCATTAGATGCGAGGTTATCACGGGGATAAGGATGTTGATGTCTGTCTTCTGGGTACTAACGCCGTGTGGACGTTTCGGAGGGACATCCTTCATCGTTCTTCAGAACTGAGTCGTCCTGCCTACAAGACAACACGGTGCTATAACCCAGAAGACGAACTTTGACATAGGCTGATCGTGTCTTTGTCTCCCCCCCCCCTCCATTTTATCGATCTGTGTCCGTCGGCGCCTTCTGCCAGATTTTTTGGAATCTTCCCCTGATATTTAAATGTCACCAGGTTGAGATCTGACCTCTCGTAGATTGCCTTTTTTGCATCATTCCTTTCGGAGTCTTTGCAAGTCGCCTTCACGTCTCTACCTGCCTGGATTCTCCTGTGTCTATCGCAGCTTTAGATTTCGTTTCGAAGACAGACCTGAACAGAGTTTGTCACCCGCACCGGCCACTTTTCACGTATTTGTAGTCTAAGTCAAATAGCGAGACTGAGTTTTTGTTACATACAGCGACGTTAGTCGTGCTGATTTGGAGTAAATTGGAATTTCTGTGGGGCTTTTTTAATGGCGTATCAAATAAGCTTACTTTATTTGCATTATAGAAGCCAGATTTTTTTCAGTTGTTATGAATAACTCTAAATAAAAATTGATTAGAGGTTACAGAATCGTGTGGTATAAGATAGCATTAAAAATTTAATTAAATTTGAAGATAAGTGTTTATCACAGATCATTTACGAAATACGAGCACTGTAATAATTTGTTTTTGTTACAAATCTCCGTATGATCTTGGAATATCTTTGTCATGTAACGTGTTTTACTTGACAGTTAAACAGGTAGAAATGCAAAGTTTTTAAAAAAAGGTCACCTTCTTAAATATTTGAATTTTATTTAAGAACTATTTGTAGGGATATTTATTTACTTGTTTGTGTATTTGTTTCTAAAACGACGCTGTCGGTGTCTCAGACTATACAGCGTCGAAATGTGACCGCGATGAACATACGAACTTTCATTGAATCATGCCACGTGGTCCACGACGTGTTTATCGTGCACTTAACCGTTTTCTCTTTGGGTCAGGTGTCGAAGCTGCACTGAGGATCACCGCGGAAGGCGGCTGTAAATTTGGTTGAGACTGTGTTGCGCAATGTTACCGTGTTCCGAGCTGCTAACGTCCTTCTTTTGTCTCGCGTCGCCTTGCCAACAGGAGTACAAACGACGGTCCAGAGACATCGAGACGGAGGTGGAGGAAGAACTTCTCCTTTTTCCGTCACTGGACGCCTCCAGTGGCAGCCTCTCCAGCAGCGTCTCCCTGTCCGACAAGAGTGTCTCCACCGACAACAACGTCGAGGAGTTCTTTGGAGACGCTCCTTTCGCAGGTCAGTTGGTGCGAATCTTTGCCTGCAGGGTGTAGTCACGCATTCGCTGTCAGTACAATTCAAATGTCATTTTTACATCAGGTTGAATTTTTTACTCCTCGCCCTGATGATGGAAGCAGTAAGCATCTCCGAAACGTCTGTCGATTTCTACACGGCGCAGTATCCCAGAAGACAGTCATTTTGAGGTCGAATTCCGTTATAAATATATTGAACTTTGTTCAGACTCAACCGTCAAGTTACAGGTTCCAGAGAAACGCTCTTGAAAAGGTCAAAATTTTTCAACTCCTGTACGGTCATCTTCAGGTGTGCGAGTTCATTTGCACTTTAGCGCAAGTCACAGCATCGCTTACGAAAGGTGATAATAATGTACAACCTGGACTGACTTAACACTAAAGAATGCGTCAAGGACTGTCCCTGAGGATGACCCTACAGAGGTCGAAACATAAGGGGCATATAACGAGTATAAAATTGGTAACTGTTGCGTTTGAACAAAGAAATAACATCTTAAACTGGTTCATATTTTTCGATCTATTCTCAATTCTACTGATTAAAAAAAACACATACAACATTTCGAAAGCTATCTCTGCTGCCGTCTTCAGGTGATAGTAAAAAAATCTAATCTGTTGGGTCCATTCGATAAAACTAATCTCAATTCGGGGGGTTAAAATCATAAGTCGCTCTTGCATGGAATGTGATGCTAGGTTAAAACAGCCGTTGACTTAGGCCTGCGTTTGTTTTAAATTTTTGTAGATCTTCAGGTGACATTTTGATAATTCTCCGTTGCTTTATTCCGTGTTAAAGTCAGTCAGACATCTTGACTCTGGCTTTTCGCCGCGGACACTGCGTTAAGTGCCAAATGATTTGAAGAGATTGGCGATGGACCAAATGGTATTTGATCAGTTTTATCTCCGAGTTTTACTTCTGTTTTCCCTCCCGCAAATCACCATTTCACCATCGCTCCATATCATCATCTATCACCGCCCCACGGGGTGTGCGATATCCCTCACCAAGGAGCACATCATCAAACCCTCGGTCCTAAGACAGGGGTCTCAGAGTAAAGGCATTTCTCATTTTTGTTGGTTGCATCACAAAACCTTTGAGCAAAAAGGAGTTACGAGCTAGTGCATGGTTGCATGGACTGGCGCATTTACGTTTTGGATTTGTGGTGTCGTAATGATTAACTCTTATGGTTTCCTTAACAACGTCTGCTTTAAGTGATTTTCATAAAAGAAAATCAGTAGAAAGTGTAAATCGATTAATGCCCGAACCAGAATTTTGTAATTTCGAAATCGGGAGAGACTTCCAAGTTGTCATTTTCAAAGACTGCGATAAATTTTCCGTGATAGAAATAGTTGAATTTTGTAACAGCGAAAGAGTTCGGACGCACTGCTCCGTGAACTGTTTATAGCCTACCGAAACGTCTGCTCAAGCACTCCTCGGTACCTGCATGTCCATTTGCATGTCTGGGTACCCCGTTCCTGTTCCTAGTTTTTATTTTGTTTTGTTTCGGATTGTTTGAATGTTGTAATGCATAATAAAGCGAGCTTTGTTTCTGTTTCTGTTTTGTTTTGTTTTGTTTTGCACCATTAACACTTTTTGACCTAATTGCCAGTGTCCTGTTTTCCTAATTAGATTGTGTAGTCTGTAGTGTGTTAAGTTGAATCTGTCTTTTCTTTTCCTTTCGTAACACTCGGTGTGTTAAAAGTGACGATGAGGGAGAACGGAAAATAGATTTGCACTTTTACCAGAAACTGCTCGTTTTAAAACCGATTGCAGAAATTTGTATCTCGTGTTCAGTTTAACTCGTGGGACCATGTGTCATACAGCCTACTGCGCTATCAAATAACAGTGCAGACACTATAAATGTACGTTGTCTTCCTCCTAGCCGTGTATCTGTACTTGTTATCAGACATCTTGAGTTTTTGCTGCATGTACAGACGTCAAAGGTAAGTGTGAACAAACTGATAACTGCTTTAATAACAAGCAACTCGACATTTTCCCGAAAGAGTGCATTTGTGTGTTTCGTAATGGTTCTCAGGATAAACAGCGATTAATTCCTTAAATAGCGTTAGCCAATTGATCTTTTTGTCGAAGAAACGTTGTGTTATGTTGAGTTTCGGATCGAGAGGAGAGCTGGGTTTAAGACGACCGGGGTTCGATCCCCGACAGGGGCAGAGCATTTTTTTTTTTTCCCTCAAGCTTTGCGTCCAGACGGTTCCTCTCACTGGGGCAAAGCTCGACCGCGACGTGACGCTGACCACTCACCCCCATCTAGTGCCGAGGTCAAGAATGACTCGGAGCTATGTCGTCTCTCCGCCCAAACCGCCTACATGGCGTGTATCGGGACAGCTTCACTTCGGCTTCAGAGGGTTTGGGATGGTATCTTTCCGAAATTGTTTCGCCGGTGCGCAAGATTTGCGGTGTTTATTTAGCGACACCTGCTACGAGGCATAGTCGCTTGATAACATTACAAGGTCGAAACTCCTGCATGGTTAACGCAGTCAACTGCGTATTTGAAAGATATCCCTTCGTTTCGAAAGTATACATTTGATACAAAACAGGTTTTTGTACGTAAATTGCCTTGACAAAATATCTAAAAATATTCTTCTAAACATCTTTGTAAGATTACAAATTACGAAAGCTCCTCATCATCTAGTTTTCTTCATCCGAAGAATTGCACTAACTTTTCTCATTCGCGTTAGTAATTATTGTTTTAACAACAGTTAACTGTCTCAATATTGCTGACACGTTCGTTAAGTATCTCAACGGAGTAGTACCACTTAACGTTTAAAAATAATCGCTAATATATCCACAGTAGTTTCCATAGCAACCAAGGCCTATACGATTATGGCACAGCTGTTAACACACATCCGTTGCATAATTGGAGGCCTCTCTCAAGGCTGCAGTGACGCTTGGCGCTGTAATAGGCTCTGCAGAGGCGTAAACAAGTCGCAAGTGGAACTTGATTGATTCCTCGCTCATACACAGATCTTCTGGACAGACTGTTGCAAAGGAAGTATTTGTTGGGGGAGATAAGAAATGCTTGTAAAATTTTGGTTGGAAAGCCAGTTGTGAAAAGGTGACTTTATATAAAATAAGAGATTGTCAATCTTGTTCTTCTGGGTTGTGACGCCGTGTAGATTATATGGCAGATACCGACGTTTCGGAGAAACAGTCTCCCAGCATGTTTAAATAATACATTAGAGTCTAGCTAAGACTTTTACGCCGCGTCGTAACCCTGAAGACCAATATCGTCATCTCCACAGCCGTGAGAACCTGAGATCTGACAAGATACGAGGTTGGTGTTGGACTGGATCTTAAAATAACCGAGGCAGAACAGGGTGAGGTCGCGTCACAAACTTGCGGGACTAAAATTTATTAAACTTGTTGCAGCAGAGTATAAATAGTTTTCCCCCGTTCTGATTAAGTCGAGAAGAATGAGATGGGTTGGGCATGTAGCGCGCATGGATGGGACAAGAGGTGTGCACCGGGTGTTGGTTGGGAAGCCTGAGGGGAAGAGACCTCTGGGGAGACCTAGACGTAGATGGGAGGATAATCTCAGGCGGGATCTATGGGAGATAGGAGTTGAAGGAGACTGGATTTTGTTGGCCCAGGACAGGGTCCGGTGGAGGGCTTTGGTTAATTCGGTGATGAACCTTCGGGTTCCGTAAGCCATCTGGTTGGTTGGGTCCACTATTTGGGAAGCCTGAGGGGAAGAGACCTCTGGGGAGACCTAGACGTAGATGGGAGGATAATCTCAGGCGGGATCTATGGGAGATAGGAGTTGAAGGAGACTGGATTCTGTTGGCCCAGGACAGGGTCCGGTGGAGGGCTTTGGTTAATTCGGTGATGAACCTTCGGGTTCGGTAAGCCATCTAGTTAGCGTTTGGGTGGAACAGATTCTGAAATGTGAAAAGACGAAGTACTTGTCTGGCGCAATGAACCGTGTCTTGCATCAGCCGCCGCCTTTACTCTGGCTGACTGAGAAGATCTTCGTGTTTTTCCTCGCTGTTCGTATCTGAGTGAGGTAACCACGTCTACGGACTGGCCACGTGTGGCTTAATACTGGGTGAGCATATCCCATATCGACGTCGTGAAGAACTGGCATCTTGGTATGACAGCAGCGCTGGCTGTGTATTTCTTTTCCAAAGATACCGGGTTTAAATCTAGGACGAGGTACCGGATAGCCTGGCTGCTTTTCTCGTGGCATTCTTGTCTTTGCAACTGACTTCCAGTACGTCACGACCACTTCCACCCAAGTCTGACCGTATTCACCATGAGCATGTGTGTAGGTTTCAGAAGTTGTATCATTTGTGTTTTCCGATTAAAACTTTGTGCGCTTTTCCTATCTCTCTATCAGGCGCACTGCATGCCCCAGCTGTGTTCTTTAACCTGGTCTCCTTGGTAATAGACCATCAAGTTACGAGAACAGTTTTCGAAATTCCTCGTTGTGTGATTTTACCTCCGTCTCGATTAAAGTCGGTCATACCTTTTAAACTGCTACGTATAGAAAAAGTCATTTTTAGTTTTCCATCGCTGAAACACGGAACTGGATTCGCGTTAACTTTCTCCCAACATGACCAATCCGCCACTGAGGAGAAGCAGGCAGACGGCCCCCCACCCCCCTCTGCGTTATAATGATTACATCATCAGAAATACCAGCGATGGTGGCGGGCAGGCATGCAGGCCGTGATGAGGAATTGACTCAGTGCGTTGTTTGCGAGTGACAAGTGTTGTTTACTTTTCTTATCGTCCTGTACTTATCTGCTGGCTAAGTTTCGAAACTGGCAGAAGTGGCTCTGAGCTCGCGGTTAGGCCTGTGATCTGCTGTTTGGCAATTTTATTTTAAGGCGCGTATTTTGGAGAACGTCGACGAAACTGTGTCAGGTGTGCTCTTGGGGTCCGGATGTGAAAGTTCGCTTGTTCTGTATATGAACAGAAGTTTGCTGAAGAATTACCATGACAGGTCCGTTACCAAGGCGATGTTCTGGTTTATAGAT